AGGATAGGATAGGCAAAAATACAAAATTAACAGTCATAGCAGTGAGCATGAATGTAATGAATTTATCAGTAAAACAAGATAGCAGAACATATGAGAAAGCAACCCAACAATGTGTTGTTTACAAGAAACACACTTGAAGCGTAAAGACTCACACAGAAATAAAAATAAGGGGCTGTTTCAGATGAACTAAAAAAAAAACAGGAGTAGAGGCATGATCTCAGACAAAGTGAAGTAAAATAGATTTGATTAAAAGAGATAATTGGAGAGACTATTCTAACATACCACAACCAATGAAATATATATATCAATACTTAATGTATATACACTGATGGCATAGCATCTAGTTACTTAAAGGAAAAACTTAGAGAAAAAGAGAGTAAAACTATAATAATTGGGGACCTCAGTATACCTCCATCCTAGACAAATCTAATGAAAAGATAATAAAGAAATCTACCAATGAAAGTAATTCAACTATGTACAAAAAAAATTATTTAGAATAAAATGGAGTTAATCTTAGAAGTTGATTTCATTTTGTCTACTCCCTGTCCAACTGTGAGCTCCTTTAGAGCAAGGACTAGTATCTGTTTTGTTTTTTCCTTTGTTCATATCTCCAGGGCTTAGTACTAAATAGGTAGTTGTTAAATGCTTGTTCACTTGATTTGCCTTGGTAGGTAGACTACCGAATATTTTATACATTCTGTAGTTATCTTTAAAGGAATTTTTCTTTCTCTCTTTTGCTGGATTTTGTCAATAACATAAAAAGAGCTGATGATTTGTGTGTATTTTATACCCTTCTACTTCGCTAAAGCTACTGTTTCAATTATTTTTTAATTAACAATTTAGGGTTCTTTAAGTAGAAAAGTTAGAAATGATAGGTCTTTGGCAATTACTGGACAGGATCAGAAAGGAGTGTGTATATGTGTACACATATACATATATACATATACATGGCACATTTATAAAAATCGTCCTTGTATGGGGAGTCCAGAGGGGAGAGAAGGGAAAGAAAGGTTAGGAGCAATCATCTCGCATAATCAGGGTATACAAGTAGACATATATACAAACGAGGAGAGGGAATAGAGGGGAGTGGTTGACACTTGAACCTCACTCTCATCTGAAACAGTTCAGAAGAAGGAAGAATCCACACAAATACAGAAGTACATTTAACTCAACAGGGAAATAGAAGAGAAAGAGAAGGAAGGAGAGGAAATTGGACGATAGATTAAGGGAGAGATTAGTCTTAAACAAAACAAATTCTAAGGATATACAAAAAAATATAGTTCTTTTAGAGGTGGCAAAGAATGGGGATCCAAGAGGGTGCCCATAAATGAGGGAGTGTATGAACAAGTTATGGCATATAAATATAATAGAATACTTGTGCTGAACTCTTATCAATGTAATGACCAACCAGAATTCCAGAGGACTAATGATGAAACATGCTATTCACCTTCTTATAGAGAAGTCAAGTACTCAGTAAAGAGCAAGACAAGTTTTTTTTAGGACATGGCCAATGTAGAGATTTGTTTTGATTGTCTATACATGTGCATAATGGGGGGGGGTGAGGGGACAGTGTGAGGAGGTAGATCTTAGATGATTAAAACAACATAAAATATATGTGTATATACATATATATATATATATATATATACACACACATATGTATATATAAAATTTGAGAACTCTGATCAACACAATAACCAACCACAATTCCTGAGGATTCATGATGAAACCTGCTGCTCACCTACTGACAAAAATGTGATGGACGCAGAGCACAGATGTGTGTGTGTGTGTGTGTGTGTGTGTGTGTGTGTGTGTGTGTGTACCAATAGGAAATTTTGTTTTGCTTGACTCTGTATGCTTGTGGCAGAGATTTGTTTTTCTTATTTTCCCAAGTTGGAGGAAAGTGGGAAGGGGAGAAGGCTGATCTTTGCTTGAAAATAAAATTTAATTTAAAAAAAAAGAAATTTTGTGGAGTCAAGAGATAGAGTGCATTATTTAAGGAGTAGCAAAGGAGAGCAGTATCACTGGATTGTAGAGGATTAGGGGTGAGAGAGAGTAGGTATAAGAAGACTAGAAAGGTAGAAAGGGGACAAGTTATAACCTGCTTTAAAAGCCAAACAGAGGATTTTATATTTCATCCCAAAGGTACTAGAGAGTCACTGGGGTTTATTGAATATGAGGGTGACATGGTCAGACCTGTGCTTTAAGAGGATTGAAGTGAGGAGAGACTTGAGGCAACCAACTAGGCTACTGGAATAGTCAAGTTATGAGCTAATGAGGGTTTGTACCAGGGTAGTTGTGGTGTCAGATGAAAGAAGGGGGCATATAGGAGAGATATTACAAAGGCAGAATCAACAGCACTTGGCATCTGCTTGGATGTGGGGTGAGGAGGTAAGAGTGAAGAGTCAAGGATGACCCTTAAGTTGTAAGCCCAGGTGACCATAAGGAGGGTGGTACCCTCAATAGTAATGGACAAGTAAGGGAAAGGGGAGAGTTTGAGGTAAGGGATGAACACAATAAATTTTTAAGATGCTATACCAGATGTCCAGGAGGTAGTTGGAGATGAAAAACAAAGTCAGGTGAGAATTTAGAGCTGGATAAATAGGTCTAAATCTGCACAAACAAAATTAATGCAGTTAAAATCATCAGGGTAGAAAGTTAACTGGGTGAAAAATGTTAGTAGCAAGTTTCTTTGATTAAGGTCTCATATCTAAGATATATAAGGAATTGATTTAGATATAGAACAAGAACCATTCCCAAATACCATAAAAAGATAACAGGCAGTTCACAAAGATATTCAAACTAGTAATAGACGTTTAAAAACCCTCCAAATCACTAAAATTTAGAGAAATTCACATGAAAATTCTGAAGTTTTACTTCACACCTGTCAGATTGGCAAAGAGGACAAAAATGGAAAAAGACAAATGTTGGAGAAGCTGAGGGGAAATACGCACACTACTGCACTGTTGGTGGTGCCATGAGTTGGTCCAGCCACTCCAGAGAGCAATTTGGAACTGTGCCCAAAAAGATACCAAGCTGTCATTGAGTCAGCAAGACTGTTACTAGGGTGTACACCACCCCAGAAATCAAAGGAAAAGGACTCATGTACAAAATATCTGAAGCAGCTCTTTTTGTAGTAGAAAAAACTGGATATTTATGGGCTACCTATTGGGTCACGGCCAAACAAATAGTATGTTAGTGTAATGAAATATTATTGTACTGTAAGAAATGACAAAAAGAACAGATTCAGATAAACCTAGGGAGACCTGTATGAACTGATACAGAGTGAAGTGAGCAGAACCAAGAAAAAAAACTATACAATTACAACAACACTATAAAGAAAATCAAGAAAGACTTAAGAATTCTGATCACTCAACTGTGAAAAACTCAGCTGCTCTGATCAATGCAATGATCCAAGACAGTTCTGAAGAACTCCTGATGAAAAATGCTTTCCACCTCCGGAGGGAGAACTGAAGAACTCTGAGTGCAAGAAAGTATAATTTTTTTCATTTTCTTTTTTTTCTTTTTGTGTGTGTAACGTGGGTAATGTGGAAATGTGTTGCATGATTTCACATGTATAATTGATATCATATGCTTTATTTTCAATAAATAGGGGAGGGGCTGAAAGGAGAAAAAGAATTTGGAATTCAAATTTTTTAATGTTAAAAATAAATTTAAAAATTTTTCAGAAGAAAAGAATTCTTATTGGTGCAGTGACCAACCACAATTCCATAGAACCAATGATGAAACATGCCACTTTAGTGAGATAATGAACTCAAGGTGCAGAATGAGACAGATATTTCTGGACACGGCCAATGTGGGGATTTGTTTTGCTTAACTATACCTATTTGATACAGATGTTTTGTTTTTCTTTCAGTTTGGAGGGTGGAAAGTTAGGAGGAAGAAGGGTTAGCAATAGGGTTACCAAAATGGAAAAAATAAACCAGAAAGAAATACAAAGCCTTTGAAGGATTTTAAAACTGCTTTTATTTTCTATAAAATGTTTCATTTGTACCCTTGAATGGATCTAACATTTCCTTTGAAACTGTTTCTACATGTTGTTTACTTAGCAAACTAATTTTTATAGGTAATGAAAAGATTAATTTCCACTCATAAAGGGCTAAAGAACTAAAGAATGTACATATTACCATTCTTAATGTTAGAAAAAATTAATTGTAGGGTTTACATCTAGAATGATAGCCACTGCCTTCCATATAACATTCCTTTGGGGAAAATAAAATGCACAAATAAGAACAGAAAGAAGGTTAATAGAAAACATAGTTAAATAAGATGGCTTTGAAAATAACATGTTTAGAGCACTATTCAGGCCCTATTCAGGAGGACCTGAGTTCAAATGTGGCCTCAGACACATAACACTCACTAGCTGTGTGACTCTGGGCAAGTCACTTAACCCCAACTGCCTAAAAATAAATAAATAAATAAGAAAAATAAAATGAAGATAACATGTCAAATTTGTTATATGCTTGCAGACAGAAGCAAACTGTATGTGGTACAGATACATGACTGTGTGTTCAAGCCTCTCTGTGATGATTTGTGCACAGAAATTCTCATCTTATTTGATATTTAAGTTCAAATCTTTTTTTAATTTCTAAGAATGGCTACAGAGAAACCACTTAAGAGTAAACCATTTCCAACTCAGTAATCTACTTTATTCTTTTTTTTGGAAACACAGCATAGAAGGAGCATATTGTTTAAAGTCAGAAGCAAAATTGAAAATAGGTAGGATGAATGCAGCAGAGAAATGGATATATGTGAATTATATACTGCAAAGTACACCATATGCTATTGCAGAGCAGATTCTGCTGAGCAGAGAAAGATCATGCTTGTAGAGGGAAAATTAATTTAACTATTTCATCACTATCATACTTTTTTCTCTGTTAATCAGTCATTGAGGCCTGCAATGATTATAAGTTTAAAACAGGAAGATCTGGTATTGAATGGTGACCAGAATCTCACCACAAATCTATTTCTTTGAACAGATCAAAACATTAAAGCAGCAGAAGGAATATGCAAAACAAGTTAAAGAATACAACATGAAAGCTCTGTCCTCTGGGTCAAAACCACAAACAGCAAAACCAGAGAGTAAACCTTCCATTTCTCGTCAGAAGGTAAGATGAGTTCTCACACCAGGATCTGGGTTCCAACAAGGATTTAATCATAAGCCAAATTTTCATCCCTTTCTCCCTTTTGAGGTCTCAAATATTGGTGGGTTTTTTTTCCTACCGAAGAAACACTCAGTCTAAAGTAATTACATAATGTTATTAATTCATATTTAACAACAGACATACAGTACTGTCTTAAGCCAGCCACCTAGTTCTTTGTTCATTATACTTAAATCTCTACATGTACTTTTTTCTATGTAGGATTTTCCTGCAGCCTCTAATATGTAAAAAGTAAAATAAGAAAATGTCTTTATGAAAGAAGGTTATCACTTTTGTTTCCTTATCTGTAAAATAATGGGTTGGACTATGTGATCATTAAGGGCCTTTCTACCTCTAGATGAATTCATTAGCACTTTCATTCTCTGATTCCACCATAAATAACCTAAGAAATTAATCCTTTCTTATTTCTTGTTCATTTGTTAGAAAGAATTCCTTTTTTGTTTCTCCCTAGCTCAACCCCCAGGTTAGGATAATATTAGGAACATATTTATAGTACTTGTCCAGGGGAAAAAAAAGACTTCATAAAACACAAAATGCTATTATTCTCAGAAGTCACCCAACCACAAGTTGTGAAGTCAGTGAAACATGCATTACAAAGTCACAAAACTTTGAAACACAGCCCTCGAACTTAATAAAGACATCCAGTTTTGACAGTAAGGTCAGGCCTTTTGAATGAGGAACAAATGATACTTTGGTGATTTTAGAAATGTGTTCTTCATGTTCCTTTTCAGGGCCGTCATATTTTAAATGTTTAAATTAAGCGTTCTATCCTAAGTCCCTAATCCACTTGATTGATTTTCCATGGTGCTCCTTTTTATTTTTACAATCTATTATTTATTCATGAATAGATTCAAACTAGCAGATTGTCTAACAAGGAATTCCCACAGAAGTCACTTCCTTTGACTCTCCTCTTAACCTCTTACAATTTGGCTTCTGAACTTATCATTCCTCCCCAAAGTTGCTAATGATCTCTTAGTTGACAAACCCAATGGCTTTTTCTCAGTCCATTCTCTTTGACTTCTCTGAAGCCTTTGACACTGTTTACCACTCTCTCCTCCTTGATACTCTCTCCTTCTAGGTTTTCAGGACACTCTTCTCTCCTAGTTTTCCTTCAGCTTATCTGACCACCCCTTCTCTCTCTCCTTTGCTGGATCATCCTCCAGATCACATCATCTAACCATAAAGTATCTCTCAGGGTTCTGTCCTGGGTCCTCTTCCCTTCTCCCTCTGTGCTTCTTCACTTGGTGATCTCATCAGCTCCCATGGATTTAATTACTATCTCTATGCTGATTCTTAAGTCTACCTTTTCTTCCTGAATGTCTCCTCTGACTTCCAACTATCTTTCAGACATCTTGAACTGGATGTCCATTAGATATTTGAAACTCATTAATGCAAAACAGAACTTCTTATCTTTTCCACTAACTACTGCCCACCCTCCTCCTACTGTAGATCGAACCACCATCCTCTCAGTCCCTCAGACTCTCAACATAGGAGTCATCCTGGATCCTCAATAACTCTTGTCATCCTATACAAGCTGTTGCCAAGGCTTGTCAATTTCACCTTTGCAACATCTCCTGAATATCCTTGCTTCCCTTCTCTGACTTAGTCCTGACCCTGGTGCAAGACCCTTATTACCTATTTCAGTAGCCTACTGGCAGGTCTACCTATCTCAAGCCTCTCCCTATTCTAATCCATCTCCCATTCAGCCACTAAAGTGATTTTCCTAAAGTACTGGTCTGGTCATGTCAGCATTCAATAAACTCCAGTGGCTTCTTGGGTAAAGACAAAATGCTCTGTTTAGTATTTAAAGTCCTTCATAACCTAGGCCCCTCGTACCGTTTTTATACCTTATTCCCCAACACATACTCCAGTGGCACTGTCTTCCTGAATATTCCATGAACAAGACACTCCGTCTCTTGGGCTCCAGGCATTTTCACTGACTGTCCCCTAGGTCTGGAACACTCTCCCTCCTCCATTTTAACTACTGATCTTCCTGGCTTTTCTGAAGTTCCAATTAAAATCTCACCTCCTACAGGAAACCTTCCCCAATCTCTCTTAATTCTAGTGCCTTCCTTCTGTTAATTATTTCCTTTTTATCCTATATATAGCTTGCTTTGTATATGTTTGTTCCCATGTTGACTTCTCTATTAGATTGTAAGCTCCTTAAGGTCAAGGACTGTCTTTTGCCTCTTTTTATATTCCTAGTACTTAGCACAGTCCCTGACACATAGAAAACATGTAATAAATATTGATTGATTGATTGATTAAGAAGGGCAGCACAATGGAAACATTGCATATAGAGTTGGAAGACTTGAGTTCAAACTCACCTTTACCATTTAAGGGGCTTTGTGACCTCTCTGAATATTAGTTTCCTCATTTCTAAAATTGAAATTGTACCACCTATTCCACATAAATTATAAGGTTGTTATAGAATCAAATAAGATAACATAGGGTGCAGTGGGATAGAGTCAGGAAGACTAAATTCAAATCTGGCCTCTTACTAACTGTATATAAACATTTACTAGCTGTATGACCCTGAGCAAGTCATTTAACCCCATTTGACTCAGTTTCCTCATCTTTAAAATGAGCTGGAGGAGGAAATGACAAACCACTCCAATATCTTTGCCAACAAAACCCCAAGTGGGATCACAAAGAATCAGATACTACTGAAATGACTAAACAATCACAAAATACCTTTTTTGTTTATTGTGCTATATTACATAGCACATTATAATTATTACACAGTAATATTATATAATAGCATATATGTGTGCTATATATATGTGCTATTTAATATGTGCTATTGAAAAAAAAAGTTTTTGATCCAAACATGTGGAGAACTCTCCAGTTAGGAAACTTTCTTTATTGCTTTGGATTGGTGCCTGTTCTGCAATTCTTAAATTAATGGCTGGGATCCTGAGAAGTTAAGTGACTTGCCCAGGATTACACAGCTGTTATGTTTCAGAAGTAGGATTTGATCCCAAGTCATCCTGACCTCAAGGCTCATCTTCTATCTCCCTACCCTGATACCTCTTGATATATCCAAATATAAAAAGGTTTTGTGATTATGATTGATCTACATTAAAAGATCTGAAATTTTATTAGGGAGTTTTTTCCCACTTGCTGACCTTAAGTATACTGTTTATACTCATTTCAGCTACTGAAGATGTTTTTTAATATTATTTCATTTTGTATTTGGTATTATTAAATATTAAAGCTGGGTACTATAAATTTTAACATTCCATTCAACAATTTTATAAACAATGAAATATCTTTCTAAATATTGACTATATATATATATTAGACTGAATGTTTCTCAGAAGCACTTAGGTTTTCTAATGGTACAACAAATAGAAAAGGAAAGTGATTTCCTTTATCAAAAAGTTTCTGGAATTCTGGAACTCTAGGAACAGTAATGCTTCTATCACTATGGCTATATTTTACATAACCTGAAATTATGCATTCAGTTTCCAGCCGAAATCAGTCCTTTTTGGATGAAAAGGTCTTGCTATTTCTGTAAAAGAAACTTGGTTTGAATGAGAATGTCAGACTAAATTAGATATACACATCTCTGGCATTTTGAGGAAGCTGAATTTTATTATGAGGTCATTCCAAGAATAAAAGAAAACGTGATTCAATCTTGGTCTGTGCATTTTTCCTACACAGCATTGTATTGTGCTTAGTTTATTTTGTTTAAATTGTGTTGCATTATGTTGAATTATGTGCATTTTCAATTTGATCTCTATTTTCACATGATTTTGAGTGTGATACAGGAAGAGCAGGTTACTGCTAAAAAGTTCCTTTATAATACAAATAGCTATTTTCTAAAATTGACTTTAAAGATGGCAGTCTGGTCTCACTTTCCCTTTCAAATGAATTTTAATCTTCATATTTTCAGGCTTTGGAATATGCTAGGAAAATTCCGAAACCTAAACCAGTTTTGGCATCGAATCTGAATGATCAAGAATCAAAGCAAAAGGGAAATCTGTCTTGTTCTGAAAAAGAAAGGAATTTACCTGAAATCTCTTTGCTAGAAGTGCTACAGAGCAGACACGAAAGAGAAAAACAGGCTGTGGCTGCTTTCAAAGTCCTTCACATCGTGTAGAAAATGTGTCCTTATGAAGACCTAATGGGGCAAGATATATGAAAAAAAAAAGGTGTAGACAGTGACTGTCTTTCATTCTAATCAGGATGCAGTCTTTATGTGTTTCCATAGGTTTAAAAATACAGGGCCATACTACATGGTTTCATAATCTCCTTTCCTTTAGGTCAGAAATCATATTGAAATAATTTACTTTTCAAATCAGTAAGAATTGGGTCTAATGACCAGACAATAAAGCTTTTTAGTTTAATAATACTGGATGTTTTGATATTTTAATTATGCCTATTTTTGTTTTACAAAATGCCACCAATGATGTTACATGAAATTAATTTGCTCATACTTTGTCTCTTTCTTGTTAAGGAAAATATTTTTAAAAGAATTTCTTTTTCTTCCACAATAAAACAAGTAAATGTTGAATCAATATTTCACAAAACTGTGAAAATCATAGATGGAGTTTCATATATAATATAAGTGTGTGTGTGTGTGTGTGTGTGTGCATATATGTGTATATGTCTTATGGAAAAATCCAGAAATGGGAGCACATTTAGTTGTGCCCATTCAAGATGAACAGATTTCAGTGTTCTAAGAAAGCATCAAGGTAAAGCATATTATTAGATTCAACTGAGTGGATCCAGAACTACCCAACTTAATTCAGGCAGATCTAAAGAAATATGCTTGAAAAATTCATTTTGATACAACAGGCATTTATGAATCACCTCCTGCATGCAGTACTAGGTACTAGGAATACGAAGATGAAAAACAGCCCAGTCCACATCTTCAAGGAGCAAAGGAGAAAGCCTGATAAAATGCTTTAAGAAAATTAGAGGGGAATCCCTTTCAGCTCAGGGAGATAAGGGAGGTTTCATGGAGATGACACCTGAACTGAGTCTTCAAGAAAGAGAATTTCAAAAGGTGAAGATAGGGAGGTGGTTCAAGCATGGGAAATGATCTGTGCAAATGCCAGCGGCTAGAGAGTCTAGGTAAGATGGGGGAAACTCTGGCCAGTCCAATGTGACTGAGACACAGAAGATGTGAAGGGGGAAGAGTGTGATGAAAAAAAGTTAGGTGGAGTTAGATTACAGAGGTCCTTAAATGCTAGTTTAAGGAGTTTTTCTTTTAGCTTGTAGACAATAGAACCACTAATGCAGGGGTGTGATTTGATTATACAGGATGTCCCAAAAGTCTTAAGTGCACTTTTGAACATTAGAGCTTGAAACTATTGTTTTGGAGGGTGGATTGGACAGGAGACCGAGACTGGAGGAAGAAATGAGGCTAGTGCCAAAGTCCAGGGAAGAGATGATGTGGACCTCAGATAGGTAGTAGAAATGTTCATGGAGAAAGAAGGGGCAGATGGAAGAGATGTTGTAGAGGTTGAATTGACAGGACCTTGAAATGGATTTGGCGGGGGAAGTAGTTGAAGGAGAGAGAAGGGAGAAGGAAAGGAAAAAATTAAAGGTGGCTTCAAGGTTCTGAACGTGAATACTGGCTAGATGGTAGAACATCAACAGAAAAGAAAATTGGAGGAGGGACAGGTTTCAGGAAGACTCATCTTTATCTGGTTATGTAAATTTTCTTAGGCATCTGTACATCTCAAATAATTCAAAACATTGTCAACTGTTTTTACTCTTATGCCACCACCATCACTTCCAAGGTGATTCTAGGCAAACTTAAAATAATTGTACAGTTGCTAATTCATACTTGGGTCATATATTGAATGTAAGTTTTGATAATTAGCTTTACTTGTTACACCTGAAGTGCATCTGTAAAATTTCCATTTCTTAAAATAAACCGTTCTTGGAGAATAGTATTTTTTACTGATTTCCTTAAGTTACCCAGTCCCATGTGGAAAATTTAGATATTCATGGCCATATCTAGTTATGCTTAATATTAATTCTATATAGAGGCAAAGTTGTGTTTTCCTACATATAGGTATATATGTGTTCAGTTTCATTCAAGGCATAGAAACCTTTTATATAACTTGGTATAAAATAAAAGCTACACAGAAATTTAGATACGTCCCTCCCAAAACCTCCCTGCTATTAGAGGCAAAGTAGCAATCATATCAAGAAGAAAAGGATATGAAGAACTAGAAGATTATTCCTAGGGGTTTTTTTCATCACTTAATTTAACAAATGAGGGTGCAAAAAGTCAGGATTTTGGAATCTTAGAGCCAGAGGAGATCTTAAAAATCATTTACTCCAACTTACTTCTTTCTGAGTATTAACATAACTGCCACCCAAGCACCCTTGAAGTGTTTGAGTCTCTAAAAAGTAGAGACTCTCCAGGGTAATAATGAAGCCATTTCAGGGTAGGTGGTTGGCATAGCTCACATTTATAAAGCGCTTTAAAGTTTATAAAGCACTTTCTTTATGTAACCCATTCCCCGTGTTCTGCCAGCTCTGAGTTCATACATACTGAGTTCAATCTTAGAATATTACCCTTCCCTCCTCCACTAAGTAATAAATCTGTTTAGCTCATGTACTGGGAAATCTCAGGCTATAACTCATGTATATCTCATATATATCCAGATTTCCCCCAGTGTAGGGAAAAAAGGGTTCCCAGCCCTAGCACTCAAGGATATACTGTAGACATAAGCATTCAAGAGAACAATGCAAATAACAGATACAGGACAGTCTTTATTCCACCCCACAGAAGATAGAGAAAGCACAAAGAACTCACACACTCATAAACAAATGCAGAAAACATAGGATTTTCAGTGACCCATAAACGACTAATACAATTCTTTTTCCTCTTTGGTGAGTCCCACTTTTCCAGGATCCTCAAGTCTTCCAGACTCATAGTGCCCCCCAATAGTAAAATCCCCTCGAAAGGTGCTGCTAGACAGATAACACCCTGACATGACTGTGAATTCAATTTTTACCCCACAAATACCTATATAGACACTGAACCATATATTATTATTCCAAGGACTTAGAGTCCCCTCAGAAGGGAAACATATTTAACATGCCTCGCATCCCAACTTTTTCATGACCCTCACTATCACCCCACAGAGATCCATACAGGCATATAGTTTAAATGGTACTACTCTGAGGACTTGGATTTCCCTCAGAAGAGAAACAAAATTGAGGTTGCTAGACATACAGTTCCCTTCTAACTGGATCCTTAAAATCCAAACACGCATAGTAATAGAGTTCAAAGTCCTGATTCTTTGCTCTTCTTTATCACACCTTTATTGCCTTGCTATTCTCCAGCTGAGACGGCTGAGTGTGCGTGCAGACCTCTTTCCAAGAGACTGGCACTTTTCAAGAAGTCTCGAAAACCCCCTCTTCTCTTAATATAAGGCTAAATTCTGGGACTCTCAAACTTGGGACTGCTGAAGAGACAGCCCCTGAAGAACTTTAAACATTCCTCCAATGCTAGAGTTCAGAAACTCTCCTCTCAGACTACATGGTTTTCCTCTTTGTAGCTGTCACATGGTTGAGAAATCTTCAGGTTTATGTCTTTAAGTTTAGGACTTCACTATGTCTTCAAGTTTAGGACCAAGAATTCTCTCTGGACACAGGTTAGAGCACATGCAACTCCTATGTGCTTTGGGTAAAGGCAGCAATGAACTAGAATCCGTGATTAGCTCTACGGTGCTCCCAGATCTCTCCCCCGAAAGGAAAAAGATCCAGGTCTTTCAACTCCCTTTTATACGCCAATGCAAAGGGATGGCTTCTCCCATAACATCCAACATCAGTAAAATCAGTCCTGCAGGAGGTGCCAGGATTATGTCAACCATTTCCATCAGAAGATGAAAGAATGAAGTATTAAGTGCTTACTATGTACAAAGCACTGTGCTCAGCTCTGGGGCTAAATAGAAAAATAAGACAGTATCTGCTCTCAAGGAGCTCATATGCCAATGAAGACTACAATGCATATGGAAGATTGCAGCTGCAAGTCAGATGGAAAAGTTCCATCACCCTTAGGGGGCAGTGACAAAGCATATGTTAATGCCTCTTGTTTAATGTAATTTCCACTGATAAAATCATATCAGCTTCTGATGCTAAACCATATAATAGCTCCAAGGATTTTGGTGGCAATAACTTTTTTCTATGATTCTTCAATAGCTGGGTCTTACAGAAACTATAGGAACAGTGGCTAGGCTGCATGTTCACAGGATATACTGAATCTATAGACAGAAAATGGTACTTCTTCCCCCATAATCTGTTATTAGCTAGGAGTTGTTTGAAAACATGTTTAGTAATTAGAATAACATTGATACCAATTGAGAACTTTGAGTCAAAGGTCTATAATCCTTAGGTGGGATTCTTAAAACAAAAACAAAACTGTGATTGAAAAACTAAAGCAAAAAGAAAAATTGAACTAAATTTGATAATACTGCATTAAACTTATTTACAGAATCAAATACAGCAGGTTTAGTTTACTATCTCTCCAGCTGTTATTAGAAATATATCAGCTTCTACCTGGAATCAAAAGTATTCTTAAAGAAAGGCCTCTATCCAGTTTGTATCAAGGGTGACTATATCTCAGTGATACTCCTTTAGTGCAGAATAGGTCACTGTTTCCTGCTTAGAGAAAGGGATAATAAGGGCCAGCGCAATAGTTACCTTACTCAACTGTTAGAGCTGTTATTCAGAGTGTGATTATCTAGACTAGGAATTATATAGTGCTTTGACTCTCCTGCTGTTCAACTCCTTTTAATAATTTGACTGTTGAGAATGACCAAGAACCGATAAATGAAAGGAAACTTGCATGGGTCCGTTTGCCTCTGCAGTATATACTCTGGTGAGAAGAGAAGCATCAACAATAGGTCAAAAAGAAACTTAAGTTCTCAGTACATTTCGTTTACCCATAACATCTTCTGTTCCCTTTTGATTACCATGGACAATGTGGAATTAGTGTATCAGCAGATAAGAAACCAAAAAAAAAAAAAAAAAGGAAAGGGGAACTCTTTCTAACATGAAGAAAACAAATTATATTTAGTGATGGATTCAAGTGGAAAATAGTCTTCAGTTTTTTTTAAAATACTGGGTGAAGACACTGTTCATTTTTAGAATGAACAAACACCTTTGGTAAATTCTTCCTCTAGCTCTATTCCTCAGAGTCCAGTTCTCATCAACAGACTGAGCAGGCAGACAACCACTCGGTTTCATAAGCACAACAACCATTCAATGGAAAACAAAAGATTTTTCCATTTATTATGGAAACCTGTATTAAAGAAACACTCTTCAAAATATCAGTTTGAAATATTCCCATTCTCTCATGGGTATAGATAAGTTGCATCGTTAAAAATATCAAGCCTTAAGGAATGAAATTTCAGCAACAGCTCCAATGGTGTGAACTCAAAAATAAATCTCTAATCCCACTTCCAATGCCATGGACACACATCCTGAGGGAGGACAAGGTGGTACCTAGCAGAGATTGTTTCCCATGCTAAGTCTAGCTTATCCACCATTGCCTTTTGCCCATGGAATGAATCCATGACTCATTATCCCTTATTAAAGTGACTCACCTTCAGCAATCAGGTCGCTCTTAGAAGTCTAAAATAGTAGTCTTCAAAGTAGTATGTATACCCTAGAGTATGTACAAAATAGTCCATTGGGGTACAGAAAGAAAATAGTAAGACTTCTGTTTATTTCAAATCTAAAAACTAAACTGAACTAACCCTCACAAAATGGTTAAGTGACTTAAAAAATTAATGAACAACAGAAGCCCACACTGGTCCTACTCCTTAGTAATAAGCTCTTCATCAGCCACATTATGAGGTAAAAAATGACGACAATCTTTTCAGATATGACAAGAAGGCAGCCAAAAAAAGTTTCAAAATGATCAAGATTATTTGAAAGATGTATTTAGACCTATCACCATTCACAAGAGACCTGATCCTAAGTGTGCATTGTGCCTTTAGATATTAGCTAATAATAATCTGAAATTATCACTATCAGCAAGATATTTAAAAAGTAAGATTTTGTCATCAAAGAGACATAAATATGTCACCTCTAAAAACTCTTGTCTGCATACATTTAAAATCTGGAAACAGAATTTTCAAACCTTATTTTTTATTATTCTGAACTTGAGAAATAAAACCAGCATTTCCATAGAAAAACAGAGGATTGCACCTGAAACTGCAGGTCTATTATGTACTAGTTGCTCTTCCTTTCAAATATACAACAAAGTTTTCACCTAACCTTCTTTTTTCCCCTCCCCCAATTCTTCACTTTTTTCTTTCTTTTTTTCTTCCCCCCCCCAAACCTGCTTAAAATGAAGAGTTTTAACCCATTTGTTAACAATTTTAAAATGCAACATATTTCAACTAGCTTGCATTGACATCAGGAAAATGTAAATGTACTAGCCAAATTTAAACAAAAAGCTTTGCATAATTGGTGGATAGGATGGAAAATGAGTATCATGACCTAATAAACACAAGCAACAGCGAACTTCTTTTATTTGGTCTTCATCTCTTTTTCAGCTATGGCAGCCGTTAAAACCAAGAATAAAAATAAAGCCAATTGAGAACCAGACTTTTGAATCATAGTGTTAAACTAAGATTTTTTTAAAAAAAACAAACAAATTCAAATCACAATACAGTCACATATTTAGTGAGAATAAAAGATGGTTTTTATAACACTCAAAAAAACTTGAAATACTGTTTATTTCATCTTTTTTTTTTTACTTTTTGTGTGAATTTTTTAATGTGCATAACATGCTATCACAAAAGTATATATACTAAATATTACATGTATGGAGTTCATGTTCAATTTTTTTTTGATGGGTTGTTAATTAAGAAAGTTTGGAGATCACTAGTTTAGAAGGTTAAGCTTATGT